GATAGTAGTAGTAATGCTAGTAGAACGGTGACATCCACTGAGGTGCGGATCGGGCCGTCTATGTCTTGGACCGCGAAGGTGCGAGAAGTTCAGCTCCCTTGGGCCCTACAGCCCGTGTAAAGCCCAAAGGCCTAAAGCCGTAAACTCTAATCCCTACCAAGCTTGATTGTGAGAGGGAAAGGGGGTTCTTTAACAAATTCCTAATCCCCAAAGGGTTAAGGTTTCAGGATTACGAGTACGACCACCACGAGTAGCAGTGATTCGCAGCTCGTTCTTACCAAGCGCTTGGGTTTAGGGTTTCCTCATCACTGTGCTATTTCAATGCTATTGGCTTCAGGGTAGTTGGGGGATGTTGGAGGGTGGGCTGCGACTAGGGCTGAAACCTCGAAGAAGCATCATTCAGCAGCTCTTTGCCACTTGCCAGTAGTCACTTATCAGTATGCGACCAGCAGAGACACAAAGAACTAAATTTGGCACTGGTAATAAACTCAAAGATGGTAATGACAGCGGTGCAGCAGGGACAAAGGCACTACTAGTAGTGGTGATATAAGATCGTTCATGGCAATAGCAGCATTGGCAAGGCCTGCAGCAATTGTGGACAAACTACCTTGTCGTTGTTGTGGGGGTTGTTGCTGTTGTCGTAGGAGCAGGAGTGGGTGCAGCGACGGTGGCAGTATTCGCATCAACAAGTGCTAGCTGCTAGCTTAGGAAGAGTCCTGACAGTCATGAATACAACACCAAGGTTAATGTTGCTTCAGGCAGAAAGCTACTGTTTAGAGCGAGCGGCAGTCGTGAGTCATGCCTGCAGCTCCAACCGTGGAACTCAGACAAGCTAGACACGTTGCTACTCAACTCGTCAATCATTAGTATGTTTTCTGTCGGAGCTTTGTCGTAGTTAGTATCATCAAACGTGGTGCAGTGCCTGTGTGAAGTTCAACCCTGAACCGTCAATCTTCCGACCAGCGCTTGTTGACCCCTTGAGCACGGCTCTCCGCAACTGTTATGCTCCGAAACTCACGAACGCAGTCAGATATCATCATTATTATGATTATTATTCTGGCCATCGTTAGTGATACTGCTTATTATTCTCAGCAAAGCCCGACAACTTGCAATGCCTGTTTCTCAGCATTGCTGTTTCTTTCTGCTTTCTGTCGTCAGATGAGCGATCCGCCGTCTGCGGCCCGTACAGTCAGAGCCGGCCCGGAACAAGCGGCGCACCCGAAGAGCTGCGACATGAAGCGATGCTTCACCAGAACCCATCGACAACAAAGCCGCCCTCCTTCGATGTGGCGCTACGCCCCACCGTGTGCAAGAAGGCTTATTGCGTACCTCTTAGACCCTATATGCCCGTATTCCCGTATTCCCCAAACTCCAAACCCTCAAGCCCGATGCCCTAAACGCCGAAACCCCTAAAACGCGAAGCCCCTGAACCTCAAATGACCCCGAGACCCCTAAACTCCCATAGCGCGAGACCCCTGAACCCCAAAGCCTCAAATCCCAAACCCTAAGCCCTTCAACCGAAAGCCCTGAAACCTAAACCTTGAAACCTAAACCCTGTAAGCTTAACATGAAAAAGAAGCCTACAGCCTAAGCCCTAACCCCCCCCCTTTCCTAGAGGCTCCCGCGTCATCCGCTACGTGCACGGCCGCGCCCTTCAGGCTCTCACTTTTTGAGTGTTCTGACAGATTTCCTAATTGGGAGTTTCCGAAAATGAGGGTACCTTACATTGGGGTCCTTAGAATAAGGATCCGACTAAGCCCTACTATTTCGGGTACTATATTAGGGGTCCCCTCTTTTCGGAAACTCCCAAGTTAGGCAATTGCGGGGATTTCAGAAGTATCAGAGGGATCCTTAGGGGTGTAGGGGGGAGGGGTGTAGGGGATATTTCCTTAAATAGGCCTTATTAGTCCTTATTATGGGCCTTAAGGCCCCCTACCCCCCCTCCCCCTACACCCCTAAGGATCCCTATGCAAGTAAGAAGCTCAGGTTTCAGCTTCATCGGATGTGAGATGGACGACCTGAGAATTTCAATACCTGACGCAGCATTCAACTTCGGGGGCGGTTTAGGTTAGGGCTAGTGACATCCTTTAATAGTTGCTGATACCATGTCTTAGTGCATAGTTATCGTATCACGTAGGTTGAAAACACCAATCCGATTCCTAAGTTTCCTAGATTCCTACAGAGTTCCTAAACCCTAAACCCGAACCCCTAGATTCCTACAGAGTTCCTAAACCCTAAACCCTAAACCCTAGATTCCAACAGAGTCCGGCATGAAGCATCGGAGTTGAAGACCAGGTTGCGGGCAGCACCGAACCAGGATCGTCCGCCGGGCTTTGCACCCAGCTGGACACGGTTTGAGGGTTGCGGGTCTAGGGTTTAGGGTTTCCGTAGTCGCTCGGACAAGGGCACTTTTCCTGCATCTTTGCTCACGTAGCTCACGTCTGCGGAGCCCTCCATGCCGGCCTTCCACATTTGCCACTAACTCGTGCAAGAGGTCCTCCGTAGCGTGAGTGTGTATGGGTACATTCAATATACAAGACACCGAATGCAGGGTGCGTCGGAAGGGATGCAGCAGCCGCACATCAGGCTTGGCATACTGTAAGCCCACTCCTAAGCCCTAAACTCTAAACCCTAAAGCCATCGAACCCTCAAGTTGTAAAGCCCAAAGCCCTTGCAGTACAGCTTATTATAGCAACCCTTGGAGGGAGCCCTTAAAAAGGCGAACAAACCCTAAACCCTAGACCCTCAACCCTCAATCCTCAACCGCCCTTGAAAAAAGGAGAGCCCTCAATAGAAAACCCTAAACCCTCAACCCTAAACCCCTAAACCCCTAAACCTTCACTAGAAAACTCCTGAAACCCCTAAACCTTCACTAGAAAACTCCTGAAACCCCTAAACCTTCACTAGAAAACTCCTGAAACCCCTAAACCTTCACTAGAAAACTCCTGAAACCCCTAAACCTTCACTAGAAAACTCCTGAAACCCCTAAACCTTCACTAGAAAACTCCTGAAACCCCTAAACCTTCAGTAGAAAACTCCTGAAACCCCTAAACCTTCACTAGAAAACTCCTGAAACCCCTAAACCTTCACTAGAAAACTCCTGAAACCCCTAAACCTTCACTAGAAAACTCCTAAACCCCTAAACCTTCACTAGAAAACTCCTGAAACCCCTAAACCTTCACTAGAAAACTCTCCATGAGGCACCTGAATGCCGGGCCCACCGGACGGCTCTTCGCAACGAAAGGGGGGCGCCTTTACATCTCGGATCCTCGACTTCGGTGGTTCCGGGGGCCCTTTTTTCAGTTTTGGGTTTTGGGGGTTTAGGGGGGTAGGATTTAGGAAGGTTTAGGGTTTTGGGGGTTTAGGGGGGTAGGATCTAGGAAGGTTTAGGGTTTTGGGGGTGTAGGGGGTTAGGATTTAGGAAGGTTTTGGGTTTTGGGGGTGTAGGGGGTTAGGATTTAGGAAGGTTTAGGGTTTTGGGGGTTTAGGGGTTAGGAGAAAGGAAGGTTTAGGTGGTAGACGGAAAGCATCAGGTCGTCGCTGCTGAAGCTGCATAGGGTCGGATGCCAGGCTCATGTTCACTGTCTGCTTCACGTTCCGTGCGCCCGCGAAATCTGCTGGCTCGCAGCTGTGAGTGCAATTTCTATAGCGTTTGTGAATCATGCTTGCTATCTGCTGCAGCTGTACCTGCATGAGGTGATGGAAAGCATACATCAAAGCACTATGCTGTATAGACCATTGTATACACTGACTACCATTGATGGATTGCACATGTCTATCGCCACTTCACAGACCTTCATGCTTCTGTCATTTCTAGATAGCGCGCCTTCCTTGCCACGCGTGATTTCAATCCAACGCCCTTTTAACGCCTTTGAATTTTCTGCTCAGAGCTTCGAGCTTCTGGGATGCAAGTGGTCCGCTCTTTGTAACAGCAAGGTGGCAACTTGGGAAACTTTTTAATTTCGCTTATGGTTCCTATAACAGTACCTATTCATAAATACTTTTCAGAGCCCCGAAACTGCAACCCAGAATAGCAAGGTTTGGCTCGTTGCGATGTTTCGGTCTTGGGGTTTTTAGCATGTGCATGATTGGAGGCTTTGGGGGCTGCCTGGCACAGAAGAAGTCGTTGCACTAAACCTTTAGCACGCTGGTTGCAGTGCCAGTTGTTGCCCTTGATACACGAAACAGTCGATCCTCCTATCGCTTATGGCCTCCGTCACTCTCCTTCTCATCCCAGCAGCTCTTAGTCCTCACCGTCATCCGTCTTTTCCATCGACATTGCATGCATTTCCACATACACTATCGCCACCACCAGTTCGCAGCAGCATCTTTGGCTGTGGCCGCGGTTCTAGTACTGTTGGTTCTCGTGCTGTACAGTAGTTGGTGCAGTTGTCGTTTTGGTAGTTTGCTCTTGCTTTTGTTTGCGTGGAGCCGTGTGGCTATGCTGCTGGCGCTGGTGCTGTTGCTGCTGGTGATGCCGGGTTTTGCCAAGATGCATGAACTTCTGTCGACAGCATTGGGGGGATTGTTCCGTAGTATGGGGTCGAGTGATTCCGCAGGTAGTGGTAGGCACATGACCGGACCAGTACGAAGCAAACATTTGTGTGGGGACCGGGCAGTCTGAAATCATTGTATATAAGCAGAACACACGAGGCATTGCTTTAAGACTTGCCGATGCCAAAAGTGGCCCAAGGTTCATTATACTCTTCCTTTGCAGGCCCTAAACCCTACACCCTTCAGGCCTTCAGAGCCCCCAAGGTTCATTAAATTCTTCCCTTGCAGGCCTTCAGGCCTTACGAAACTGCTGCTGCCAAAACTACTAGTACTATACGACGACGACGACTACTACTACTACTACAACTACTACAACTACTACTATTACTACTACTACTACTACTACTACTACTGCTGCCACCCTAAACCCTAAACCCTAAACCCTAAACCCTTATTTCTACTACTACCACTACTACTACCACTACTAGCAAGCGGAGGTCGAAACAATGACCTGCACCAGCTGCAATGATGTCCTGGGAGCCTTGCTCCTTCCGCAGAAGGCCGAGCCGGCTTGTGGACACATGCCTGTTGTATGTATATCTACATATATATACACACACATTAGTATTGGTATATTTATTCTTACAGTCTTCATTACTAGTGTATATGTATATGTATATATATATTATATACCCATATATATATATATATATCTATATGTATATATCCATCTCATGAGATAAAGGCGAGATGTCGTAAGCATCTCAGGGTTACATGCATCATACGTTGCCAGATGTGCCTCGACATGCCTCGATCTTGTGAGTCATCTTTTGTTCAAAAATCCTGCAGAGTCAGTACCTTAGTAGTCGAGTAGGTAACCTTTAACCTTTTTTGGGTAGTATAGTCCCTTTCTAATCCCTCTATAACCAAGAAGGTTAACCTTTAGTTCCCGACAAGTAGGGTAAGCAAACGCAGGCAGTACCATTGGTCGTGTTATGGTGCTCATTGGGTAGGCTACATGTATGAGCGATGTCAACGATGCATCTGATCTCCGTGACGTGGGTAGTGCGCCTATCAAGAGGCACGGTCCGGGTTTAACACATGTAATGAGTCTGTAGTTTGAGCAGACGGTGCTCGTGCAACATGAGCTATGCACATATGCTTGTGAACACTCTAAACTTGTAGGAATGAGGTCCATGCTGCTTGCATTTCTGAGCAGTGCGCACGCATTCTGGTGATTTTGAGCGGAGGAGGACAATGCGAGTCGTATGACCTCGTATGGTTTCATGGTAACCTGGTCAGTCCAAGTAATATGAACAAGACACCACTTGACATGCCAAAACACGCGCCGAGCCCGCGGAGACACTATCTCGGGGTGTGCTTTTTTCTATCTCGTGCCACGTTTTCGCCATGTCGGCGTGCGCGATCCCATGAGCAAATTCTACCGAGGGTTCACGGGCCTTAATAATTTCCTACACTATTTTAGGGGTTCAAAAAAATTATAGTATGGCGGGCCCCCAAACCCTGTTCTTATTTTTGAGGCGCCTACATTACATATAGTACCCTTGTAGATCCCCTATAGTAGCCCTTATAGGCCCCTTTAAAGGGAACCCCATCTTTTAAAAAGGGAGCCCTATTCTAATTGTTTATGATGTCAGTTGCAGCCCTGTTGCTGCAAATCGGAAGGTTTCTATTGTGCCTTCACTGCGAAACTTCGGTCGCTGACGTGTCTTACTAAACCTGGTCTTTAGGGGTTAAGGTTTAGGGTTTAGGGTTTGGGACGATAGTTGAATCGCAGTCTGGATAGTTCTTCAGTCCAAGCTGAAGAGCCACGAAATTATGTTCCTGCGCCCTTAACCCGAAATCGACCGAGTGCTCCCATAGCGGAGGATGGGCCTCGCATACAGTTCATGTCATGGAAGAGACTGCGAACCTGTCATCGTCCCGGTCACCCTGGCAAACCGTCTCCTGTCTCCCGAATTGGTGAAACTGCCGAGTAGTGGCCGCCAGTCTTTTAGTGATTCCAGGTCTCTGCCGAAGATGCGAAAGAAGACGATATCGGCCTTCTGCGACAGAGCCGCTGGGAGCAAGAATGTTGACTCTAGGTGTCTTCGTCGCTTACGGTGGTGAAGGCCTGAGTGGATGGTGTCTGACGACAGCATAGACACTTCGGGCTATCGTCTCAAGGGTAGAGCGGTGAACATTTGGTCGTAACTTGCTCCGACGAGAACAGTTTGCACAGGCCTACAAGCAGGTTTTGCACTCGTGTTTAAAAGGCCACCATTGCAACATGAACGATTAATATAGGGGCCTAGATAATTACCTAAACTATTTTGGGGGTTCCTTATTATGATTATGGTAAAATGGGCCCCAAAACCCTATTCGAATTATTAAGGCCCCTCTATGAGCTGACGATGGAGGGATCCATCCTTGCGCATTCGTCGCCTGAGAAGTGAGGGGAGCAATTGAGACCCTTGTATGAGAGACAAGCTGATTTGATGTATGAACAGAACGAACAGCTGAAGGTCCGAACCCACACTACAGAAAGGCTTCTACCATTCCAAAGCTGTCAGCTCGGAGGGTGGGCCAGATGTGAAAGGCGAGCTGTGACTTGCGAAACGTTGTGCGCCACTACTGTGGGGATTTCCGAAAATAGCCTAATATGGTACCTTAAATAGTAGGATCCCTATTATAATTATAAGGACCCGAAAGTACGGAACCCCACATTTCCGGAAACTCCCATGTTGCTGACGCTCCCAGGGATCATCTTGCACCTGCTGCGGCAGATGTATCCGGTGCCCGAGCTATCGACGACCCTCTTCCAGCTGCTTCAGCAGGGGCCTTACCTTTGGGGGCCTAAATAATTAGACGAGGGTTCATTGAAAGGGACTACTATAAGGGATCTATAAGAGGGTTCTATAATGCAGGGGCCTAAATAATTACCGAGATTAGTTGCAGGGGTTCCTTAGTAATTGTAGTTATAGTATAGTGGGCCCCAAAACCCTCTTCCAGCTGCTTCAGTCCTGGCAATAGAACCTGAGATCGGCTGCAGAGATTCGCGGAGCCAGGTTTTTTTTTGGGGGGGGGGGGGGGGCGGGGGGCCTGCACTTGGTTCTCCAATACCGAACCTTTAAATGTCTTGGGGTCTTGTAACGTAGTAGTGTCTGAAAGTTTAACCTTTTGTTTCTGTGGCTCAGTGGGGAAGTAAGTGCATCCTGAATGCTTAACACGAAGAAATCAACAGTGGGAGCAGCCGCTGCATCGCAACTTATGTTGCACGAAACAGCAACAGTAGCAGTGGTGGTGGTGGTGGTGGTGGTGGTGGTGGTGGTGGTGCTAGCCGCAGTAACAGAAGTAGCAGCAGCAGCAGCAATAGCAGCAGCAGTGGCAGCAGCAGTAGCAGTGGCCTCAACTAGCAGTAGCGGTGGCTGGCCTCAAGTAGCATCAGCAGTGGCAGTTGCAGTAGTAGCAGTAGTAGCACTAATTAGCGGTAGTAGTGGTGGTGGTGGTAGTAGTAGTAGTAGAAGTCGTCGCCGTAGTAGTCGCAGAAGCAATCGTAGTAGCAGTCGTAGTCGTAGTCGTAGTGTCGTAGTCGTAGTTGTAGCCGTGGTGGTGGTGGGGGTGGCGGCGTCGGTGGTGGTGGTGGGGTCTGAGCTTGGGGGCGCTCAGCACCAGCTCATGATCCGAGGCGTGGCATTCTCACCAAGGAGCTTGGAGTGAGTAAGAGCGGGTTTCTTTTTGCAACACCTGTTGATGTCAATATCTGCTAAGATTCCCGCACTAAGCAGCTGCGCTTGCATTGATTTCACTCCCTTGCCCCTGCTTCCAACCGCGCTGTCCGGGAAGGATGTGATTTCTGACGTGCTTGACGTCAAGCCGCGTCTCATGTCCCTCGCCTGCCTTGGTGTTGGTACAAGCTACAAACCTTTAGGAGCCCTCGGCTTAACCCATCTTCAATGATTGGTGCAGCAGGGAACCCAGAGCAACAGAATTACGACTGCATGGGATGACTGGGATGTCGTGGAGCTAGGAAGACGGGATGGATGCCGTTCGAAAGCTGAGGGAGCAGGACAGGACAGCGGAGCTAGAGCACGTGACAGCTTGAGGGCGGAATGTAGTCCGGTGCAGAACAGAAATTAAGCACAAGCATGGGCCAAAAGAAGTTAGTCGTTATACGATGCAGACAGGGATGGGATAGATAGGGCTTCAAGCTTCTGCGCCTGAAGGAGGCCCTATACCGGAAACCCTAAGCCCCAAACCGTAGGACCAACATCTCCTGGAAGCTCTAACCCTAAACCCTAAACCCCTAAACCCCTAAACCCTAAACCCTAAACCCCTAAACCCTAAACCCTAAACCCCTAAACCCCTAAACCCTAAACCTTAAACCCAGTATCTTCCACATCCTCGAGAAGCCTCGGAGCTTTAAAGCGAAGAAGCCTGAAGGTTGCTACTATCAAAGTGGAAAAGGAGGGCTTAATGGGGGACCCCTACCGTATTGTGGGCTATATAATGGCTGTATAATAGCTATATTAAGGTTACTACTACGGTTGATGATATAAATCATGCATTACCATAAGGAACCTATAGTATGGGAATTATGGTATATTCCTTAGTCTGCGGTAATGCAGGATTTATATCATCAACCGTAGTTACTTGGGTTATACAAGGGTTGCTCTAAGCTTACTACATGGACGTTATTGTGAGGTTACTCTAAGGTTAGTTTAAGGCTAGGGTGTACTATAAGGGCTCAGCATCTAGCACCCGCCCCTCCGCCAGCCATGTGAGGCAGCTGCAGGATCGTCCTTCAGATGCCGCGCGGCTGTGATACGGTTGATGATAGAAATCCTGCATTACCTATAGTAAGGAATATATCATAGTTCCCATAGTTTGGGGTCCTTAAGGTAATGCAGGGTTTATATCATCAACAGTAGTGATCGGGGCGGCGGGGGCGGGAGTTGCTGACGGGGCAAACCTTGAATCTGGGCGTCGCCACTCGCATGAAGTGAAGTGTTGTTCCCGACCCGCTAGGCCCCAACGGGATGTGTTGAAGTTGAGTCTGCAAGGGTGAGGATTTCTTGGACTCCGGCCGCCGCAAAGCCCAGACTCAAGAACTCAAGGAGCCCCGTTTCCACAGCCCCTGGATCCAGAACCCCAAACCCTAAACCCAAAACCGTAAACCCCAAACCCTGAACCTAAGAACCCTAGACCAAACCACAAAAACCTAAGAACCCCGAACCTTGAAAGTCCAGCCTTAGGCGCTGGACACAAATGCGCCTGCGCCGGCGCCTGGTTCGCAGCCAGGCGGCTGGCGTTCGGGGACCGTCAAAAGGCTTAGGGTTGAGGGTTTTAGGTTTAAGGTGCATAAGGGTTTTAGGGTCAAGGGTTTAGGGCTTACGGAGCATCAAAAGGTCATGAGGGCTTGAGGCTGAGGCAGTTGAAATGCACTTCTTGTGAGAAAATCGCTCCTCAAAAACAATCTACTTGATGTTTGAACAATTGCCTTGAGCAGGAGGCCTCGTGCCAACACGCTTCTTGCAGGACGGGCGTCTGGGGTTGAGGGTTTGGGACTTTTTGCTGAGGAGAATCTGTGCAGTTGTGTGGCGCCGGCGCGAGGGGGCAGTTGCGCCAGTGGCCCTGTGGATAGACGGCGCCAGCTCCAAACTTTAAAAGCCCTAGAACCCCAAGGCCTTAACGCCCTGAATCCCAACGGCCCCCAATCCACACATCACCGCCTGACACGGCCTCATGAAGCTTAGCTGCCAGAGCTCCGAACCCTAAACCCTAAACCCTAAACCCTAAACCCTTAAACCCTAAACCCTAAACCCTAAACCCTTAAACCCTAAACCCTAAACCCTAAACCCTTAAACCCTAAACCCTAAACCCAAACCCTAAACCCTTAAACCCTAAACCCTAAACCCTATAATTGGAAACGGCTTCAGGGTTCAGGTTTTGGGTTCCTCGGGCCGTCCTTGGAGTTTCCGGCCCCAACACGCTCAAGACTAGATCGAAGAATGCCGAAGGCCTGCTTTCTATACTTACACTGTAGAGAATACCCCCCCCCCCCACCTCCCCAAATTCATAATTTAATCCTGAAGCCCCCTGAATCCTAGAACTCTGGAGCAACTCTTGCAGAGCCCTTTGAAGGAACTACTTAGGCCCCGAGACTGTGCCTGCTGCATCCTCAGCCCTAGACCCTAAACCCAAAACCCTCAACCTAAACCCTAAACGCTAAACCCTACACCCAAAACCCTAAACCCAAGCCCTAAACCACCCAAAACTCTAAACCCAAAACCCTAAACCCAAGCCCTAAACCACCCAAAACCCTAAACCCTAAACCCTAATCATCGAAAGGACTTTCAGTGCAAGGAGCGTCTGGGTGTGGGCTCCTACGGCGAGGCGGGGCTCACGGGCTTAGGTTTAGTAGGGTTTAAGGTTTACCCAGGGGCCCATAGTAGTTCCTTTTTAAAAGGGTCCCTTTAACGGGATCTATAGGGCTTCTATAATTAAGGGGTGTAGGATGGGCCTTTTTGGGTTCATATATAGAGGCCCAATACCCAGAGCCCCGGGAGGATCTAGAAAGTAGATCCCCTAATCTGGGGCCCTGTACTACTAGGGGTACTGTACAGGAACCCCCATTAAGGGATGTACTTTTCGGATCCTCCCGGGGTCTGGGTAGCAGCTCCTTTTTGGGTTCATATACGTATAGAATCCTGTAAGGTAATCCCTCTGAGTGGTGTGGTTAGGAGTTTAGGGCTTAGGGTCTGGGAGTCCCGGTTCAGCCGGTTTAGGGTTTGGGGTTGGCCTGGCGATTTCGAGTTCAAAGATGCGTTCCAGGGCCTGAAACCTCATATCCTGAATCCCAAGACCTTTATCCGAAACCCTGAGCCCTGAGCCTCAAATCCTACAGCCGAAACTCAAAACTCAAAACCCTACACCCTCAAACCTACACTAATACTCTAGAGACTCTAGAGTCCTGAACAAATTGCCGTTCTTATTCCTTAGGTACCTATATCATATATACAGTACAACATGCCCCAAACACTCTTCTAATGTGAAGGCCCCTTTGTTAAGTCTTGAACCCCCAAAACCTAAACCCCAAAACCCTAAGCCCCAAACTCTAAACCCAAATAGAGTCACCCTTATACTTACAGCTCCCTAAAGGAAGCCCATAAACCCCTAAATCCCGAAATATAGCACCCTTATAGACCCCTAAGCCCTAAACCATACACCCCAAGCCCTAGACCCTGAACCCTGAACCCTGAACCCTGAACCCTGAACCCTGAACCCTGAACCCTGAACCCTGAACCCTAAACCCTAAACCCTGAACCCTGAACCCTAAACCCCAAACCCTAAACCCTGAACCCCAACCCCTAAACCCTAAACCCTAAACCCTAAACGCGCCGGCTCTGCGAGGTCTGGCACTGCCAGCATCGCCTCGACGGCCAGGAGTACGCCGTGAAGAAGGCTCTCCAAGGGATCCTTTAAAGGGATCCTTAAGGGTTCTTTTAAAGGGATCTAGGATCTATTAGGGTTCTTTTAAAGGGATCTCTTAGGGTTCCTTTAAAGGGATCTCTAAGGGTTCTTGTAAAGGGATCCTTAAGGGTTCATTTAAAGGGATCTCCAAGGGTTCCTTTAAAGGGATCTATACTGTAAGGGTTCCTTAAAGGGATCCAGAAGGGTTCCTTAAAGAGATCCGTGAGGGGTCTATATAGGGGTTTTGACTGGGTCTTAGGTTCAGGGTTGCTTAAAGGGATCCATAAGGGTTCCTGAAAGGGATCTTCAAGGGATTACATGTAGGGATCTTGAGGGTTTGGGGTTTAGGGTATTTTTTGGTTTAGGGATGTGTAGGTTTTTGAAATTTTAGGGTGTAGCGCTTAGGTAGGGCTTGGGGATTGGAGGTTGGGGTTTAGTTTTTTTTTTGTAGGGTTCAGGGGTTCGTAAGGGTTCCTTTAAGAGGGCTCTGGACCAGGCTCCCCTGTAGGACAGGTCAGTAGGGTACGCAGTAGGGTTAGGGGTTAGGGTGTTGGAATCCCATTTTTAGGGTTCGACATGGACGGGTTTCGAGTTTAGAGTTTAGAGCTTAGGTTTTGGGTGCTCAGGTTCAGCGTGGGTGTGAGTTGTAAGTGTTGCTTGGATATTGCCGGGCTGATCGAGCGAGATTCGGTTATTCGTGCTGTGGGTTGATGGCTCAGGGTTGGAGCTCTGGTGTTTTGTGCTGGGGATTGAGGATGTCAGGTTTGGGAGCTCTTCGAGTCTACACAGCAGCGAGCCCCCTCCTACTTTCCGCGTGGAATCATAGAAGACAGCGACAGACAACGAGAGAGAGCGAGAGAGAGCGAGAGAGTGAGAGGGACAGTACCGCAAAACTTTAAGACTTCAGACTTCAGCCTTCGAATACGAATGTGACCAAGGCCCAAAGAAAAGAATGCCCTTGGCAATAGGAACAACAGCGGTAGCAGTCATAATGGTACAGTAAGCAGAGTTATCATGAAAGTACCTATTAGTAGTAATACAGTAGCACTACGGTAATCGTAATCGTCAAGGGAGATACGAAGGGAACGTTGCTGGTCGCAAGCAGTAAGTGAGCAAGTTGTAACAAGTAATCAGCAATTAGAAGGAATAAGTATCACATAGTATACATTGTCGGTAGTAGATACTGGTTACTAAGCAAACCAGTCATAACCAGTCAAAGGTACGTTGCAGTTAGAAATGAGTAAGTAGTAACTAGTAGGGTTTAACTACTGTCATCATTAGCAACACCGCAATTAGGACTGGAATCGCGATTAGGAGGAGTCAGGACTGGGCAAACCGCGGACATTGCTAGTGCTATTAGTAGTAGTGATAGTCCCAGCAATACTGATGATGATAAGCAGCAAGATGAGTCTTGTACAGCTCAATCACTTCCGCTTCGTTCTCGGAGGTCGTCTACCGCGCCGACGGCCCACGGGGTCCGGGAGTCCAGGAACGAGTGCTGCGTGAGGCTTGGGGTGCTGCGGGGTGGGACGTGGGGAATTCTCCGGTCTTCTTTCTCTCGAGAACGCCGATTCGAAGCCTGAGAAGGGGCTGCAGGCTGGTTGGAGGTTTGCATTGGCTTGGTGACGTCTTCTTTGCGAGGGCTGGGTGGTGTTTCCAAGCTGTCCAGGCCGGTCATACACAAAACACGCAGAAAGCATGGTAAGAGGAAACAGCAGCGCGCGCCGTGGCAAAAGCTGAAACTTGAAAGTGATCACCGGAAATTCAGAAACCGGAAGCAGTAAGAGTTAGTCCGTACACCATAGCGAAATGTGGACACAGTTTGCATGTAGCCAGTACAAGATAGACAGCGGAGAATCGGGAGCACGTGACCAAAGGTAAGAACTGACAAAAAGCACTACTGCTACTGCTGCTGCTGCTGCTACTGCTGCTGCTACTCCAACTGCTACTGCTGCTGCTACCACTAGCACCTACCACCACCACTACCGCTACCGGTACTGTCACCACTACGCCTTACCACTGCTTACTATCTACTATGCTTACCCTTGCTGTTGTTGCTGCTGCTCTTGCTACCGCCGCTGCGGCGACTGCTGCTGCTGCTGCTGCTGCTTTTTTTGGCGCTGCTGCTTTTGCTGCTGCTTGCCCTGCTACCGCTGCTGCGACCACGACGACGACGGAGCAGGCTCAGACCTGGGCCCTTGTCAACCACCCGAACATCGCCGAGAGCTTGGTGCCAACATGGGGTCCATAAGGGGTTTGGAGGTGTCCCTTTGAAGGGCCAGAGGGATAGAAGGATCCAGGGAAGACTTATTCCGGGTTCTTCAAAGGAACAAGACCGGCACGATCAAAGCACTCAGCTCGGAGGCGAAACTCTGCAAATCCGCGGTTTGCCACCACAGGTTGCTGGACTCAGACGCTCCCGCCCTCCTCATCCCGGCCTCCCTGCTGCCGTCTCTGCCTCCCCCCTTGCACGCACGCACGCACGCACGTTCCTCCCTCCCTCTCTCTCTCTCCCTCTCCCTCTCCCTCTCCCTCTCCCTCTCCCTCTCTCGTCCTCTCCCTCTCCCTCTCCTCTCCCTCTCCCTCTCCCTCTCCCTCTCCCTCTCCCTCTCCCTCTCCCTCTCCCTCTCCCTCTCCCTCTCCCCCTCCCTCCCTCCCTCCCTCCCTCTCCCTGCCTCCTGCCTGCCTCTCCCCCCTCTGCTGTCGAGCGTCCGCGAACGGTTCAATGCCTTAGTTGAGCTGATGAGTGACGCTGCTCCCCGGTACCTCAGTCCTGCGGTTGATGATATAAATCCTGCATCACCCATAATAAGGAATATACCATAATTCCCCTGGTTTAGGGTCCTTAAAGTAATGCAGGATTTATATCATCAACCGTGCAGATAAGGTCCGCTACCACTCGTGTTGGGTGGAGGCCTCCGACAGGGAGTTCTGCAGCCCGGTGTCTGGAACGGTGTAATTTAGGGGCCGAAATAAGTATCTAAACTATCTTGAAAGTTCCTCATTACATTTATAGTATAATTGGCCCAAAAAACCTTATTCTAATTATTCATTATATTAAAAGCCCTATTCCAATTATTAATAATTAAAAAGCCCTATTCTCATTACTAATTATTAAGGCCCCTGTAATAGTTAGATGCCCAGTGAGAAGTTGGCCCAGCGGTGCTTGTACCGCAATGCCGAAATTGGCCGCTGCCGCCTTCGCCCCAATAATCTGCGATGTCGAACAGCACAAAAGTCGCAAGGCTCTTACCAGGAAATACCAGGAAGCTCTATTCTCAGTTTAGCCTGTCTACTGTGCTGCCCAAAGTGAACGTGTGCCTCAGAGACGTGGGATTGCTTCCCGCCTTGGCAAAAAAGGATGGAAAGCTCCTTCTTTCAGCTTTGTGATGAAGGTATGGCAGGAATCTGATGCCACCCAGAGACTCCTATACCCCTTAATTAGGGAGTATTCCTTAAATCATATGAGGGATCCTACTATAATTTCCGGTATTTTCCCTAATGCAGGGATATTGGAGTCTTTGGGTACAGATACTTGGAAAACCCAAAACCCAATCCCTCCAACCCAAAGCAGGCCGATTGGGAGACCTGGGGCACGACGAACGCGAGGTGCTGTTGCTTGGGTGGGCTTAGGGCTTTCCGGCTTGGGGATGGGCCTGCTCAGAGGATGACCACAGCTGCTTGGAGGATCATGGGACTTAGTAACTATAGTTTTATGTCCCTTAATTGGGGTTATATAAGTATAATTATAATAAGTAGAGTTGCCCCAATAATAACCCTAGTTACTAAGTCCCATGATCCTTTAAGTATGGGCAGATCACACCATCGATTCATTAAAACAGCGAGGGGCATCGAATGGCTTCTTAGTGCACATAGTATCGGGGCCTTCATAATTGCCTATACTATTTTCGGGGTTCCTTATTATATTTATAGTACAATCTACGCCAAAGCCCTATTCTTAAAGCCCCTCTTTTGCCTACGACTGAGACCTCCGGCCTCACACTGCGCGCTCTCACAGCGCATGAGTTTCGAAGTGCCCGAGCTTCCAGCATGCTAGGACAGAGAAGCGCCAGCCCTTGCCCCTGGAGGCGCGCAGCCAAACATATCGCGGGTCTGGGGTATGACGAGAAGCAGGGTGAGTAGCGTAGAAGCCTGAATAATTACACACACACACATGATTCACTAAGGTTCCTTACTCTATGGTATAACATGCCCCAAAACCCCTCTTGAAAGTGCTGAGGCCCCTACAGTAGGATCCTTTGGGCCATGTGCAGGTGGGATTCACTTGACACTCGTAAACCCGGGTAATATAGAAGCCTGAAAAATTGTGATGGTGTCAGGTTTCCGTTTTTTTACTTTGTAGTACAATGTACACCAAAATCCTGTTGTCATTATTGAGACCTCTGCATCCTAGAACTTTTGTGGCAACTCTTGTGGAACCCCTCATAGAACCCTACTCTAACTGTTGAGGCCCCTATATTCGCCTGAACCTCAACGGATTTCCCCACTGTGCCACTCTTGACTCGATACCATGTACATGTGAAGCGGAGGTTTCAGGTTACGAGTACAAAAAGCACTTAATATATATATATATATATATATATATATGTGTATACATACATACATACATACATACATACATACATACATACATACATACACACACATACAAACATATGTGTGAATATATAGAGGTCTGAAATATCCCAGCATAGCACCCCGCCCACTCTCTTCTCATTCTTAAGAAGCCTACTTCCGACATTACTCGGGCACGCTCCCTTCGGCTCAGCCCAAAAAGTGAAGCTCGACGTTCCGCATAAACTTCGTCGCCAGCCCCTTGGTACTCCTTTCCTTTCAGCCCAAGCTAAACAGACAATGTAGGGACCTTACACAACTAACATAAATGGGGTTTTGGGTTGGGCATGTTTTACTACATCTATAGCAGCAGCGCTTAAAGAATGGTTTTACTAATCATCCAGGCACTCAAAACCCTAAACCCTATACCCTAACCCCCCCTTCCAAAAAAACATCATTAAACCTTAGGATGGATCGGGTTTCCTTCCTCGCTCTTGAGGATCAGGAGAGCTCGATGGAGTCGGACATGTCTGATCTGACAGAGGCGGCGGCGCGAAGCGAGCGTCTTGCATGGGTACTTAGTAGGGCTTAGGGTGGTTCAGGTCTCAGGGTTAGTATAATTTACCCTAATATGACGGACGGGCCAAAAGGGTAATAAAGTAGCTTGAATAATTGGTTAATACTATACTCAGGGCTCGCATAGTAACCATAGGATGTCGGATGCATGAAGTCTGTCGCTGGTTCCCGGAGTTGAAGGCATAACATGGCATGGTGCAAGGAGTCAAGGCTCCCGAAACATGCTACTATGCACCGCAGACCTATGCCTTGGGACACCGTAGGAGGCCAAAAGGGGTTCTAGCCTATGGGGGTTTAGTAGGGGTTTTGGTTCCCATAATAGGGTTCATATTATCCCTACCCCAAGAATCGTAAATCACCCTTTTGCTCCCGTCAGGACACCAGACCTGCAAAGTAGTCGAGCCGATACCATTGACGATGGCCCGGCCCGCCATGTACCCAAACAGGTCTCCGACGGTGGTGTGGTCTTCCTCGATGCAGCGCAGGAGAATACCCAGCCCACAGGTGGGGGACGGACGGACGTCGGTGGAGTTGCGATTGATGGCGAAAGGAGAGCCTTGGTAGTTAGTCTCTCTGTGTGTGTGTGGGGTGGGGTGACCGGATGTTGCCTGATTAGCCTAAAGCGCCGAAAGAAACCAGAGTCACATATCAGACGTCACGGACTGAATTCAGTGGAGGCCAGCACGAGACATCCTCGCTGGAGGAGGCCGGAGATGAGTCCGATCTACCGGATTTATGGAGGTTGAATGGTGGGGGTGTTTCATCTGGGGTTTCCGAAAACAAGGGGTACCTTATTTTGGGGTCCTATAACAAGGTAAGAGCGCCTGGTACGTGACCGGCGTTTTGTGGCGTAGCTGAAACAGGCAACGTGCTACAACCTAGGGAAAACATGTATTATGACTAAAAAGTTGTGCTAGGAGAGGCGGAGAATCCCTGTGACAGGTCGATCGTTTTGGCGAAAAAGGTGTTGCCGCTGCAGTAAAAGCCACTTTTGCGAGCACCGCGCTTCGCAAACTTGGTCTGAGTGGACGCTAATATGCGGCGTCAATGAGATCTGGTCTGAGTGGACGTTAACATGGTTGACCCATGGATGCTCTGCGTCAATAACATGGACCACCCATGGATGGTTTCGACGTGGGTTGTAGCAAGTGCCGAACACACCGTAATTACCGGTATGTTCGGCATATGACCCTAAGGAAACATGGCTTCGATCAGAACTAGAGCTTGGACCTCCCTGCGACAGAAGTCCGCAGTTCTGGGAGTTAAGGGTCGGGACTGGCCGGAATTAGCCCCCCCCCCACCCCCCACCCACACCCCCCCCCCCCACCCAAGAAAAGTGAGGGGACGTACAGGACGCACACCAGGCGCTCTCACCTATAACAAGGATCCTGCTATTAAGGGTAGTCTATTCGGGTGCCCTATTTTCGGAAACCCCCCATGTTACGTAGGATGCCAATCCCAGAGCTTCATTGCCACGGCGGCCGTGGCGGAAGTGTTTCTACACTCTTGTAATGGGTTAGGGTTTAGGGTTTAGGGCACACCGGGAAAATGTGCACGACTGGAAAGACGCTTTGGAGAAAATAAGGCTCCCCAAGCCAAGGGCATGACAAAACGAATCCCGAAAGGTGAACAAAGGAGAACGTACCTGCGCACATAAAGTAGGGGCCTACATTACCAATACTATTTTGGGCTTCCATAATATATAAATAGTATAATGGGCCCCCCAAACCCTACTGGAATTATGAAGGCCCCTATAGTATCAATCTGCAAGCCATCTTTTTGCTGCTGCCCGCTCCCCGCCAGGTTCAAGCCGACGCCGGCATTCTTGCCAAGCGGCCGCGCGAGACGGCGCGCCTGGCAGAGCCGTCGTGATGATTCTGCAGACACTGTTGGATAAGGATCATCCCAGCACCAGCACCAACAGCAGCAGCTGACGGCAGCAACAGCGACCATCGATAGCGACAGCGACAGGCACAGCAACAACCACATCTTTGAGAGGCGGAGCAGCAACAAGCACAGCATCATCAGCAGGTATGTCAAAACCAACCAGTACATAGGTGACACGTGCATTGTGGTGTGTTGAGCATAGATGTTCTGACCGACGGGCGCTGCAGTGACATGGACGTTTTGATTTTTGGAATCGTCCTGATGAGCATGAACCGTGAACGTATACTGGGTCTTAAGGGTTCAGGGTAGTTTCGAGGCGGGCTCCTCCGCGGTCTACAAGGCGATATTGCACATCCAGACAGAGCTCTGCCGCAAGGCCTCGAGCCATCAGGGTTCCCAGAAGGGCTGCCACAAGGGTTACTGACTGATAGGGTTAAGAATAAAGCATGATCGCAAGGGTTCGTATCAAGGTCTTCAGGGCTTCGGGGTTTTGACGAGTTGTTAAAGTTGGTAAAACCCTGAACTTTTCTTGCCTGGCATGGTGCTGCTTCGCTCCGACTTCTTGATCTTCTTGTTCTCGTTGAGGGGTGGGCTGCCGCTTACAAACCCTGACTGAATACCTGCGCCCTGAAAGTAAGCACTTTTACGTAGGCTTCCCCCTAGTTCGCTGAAGCTCCCGATTGCCCCTACGAGCCGTGGCCGTGGCCGGTAATTTGGCAAATTGAATCGACCTTCGTAAACCCTCATAAAATCCTCCCCGTAAAATCCTTACAAAACCTTTTGAAACCTTCAGAAAATCCCTACAATGCTCCTATGAACCTGTGCTTTAGTCCTTACCCCCCTGTTGCTACGAAAAAGCTCTTCTCTACACTCTAAAAGAAACCCTGAATTCTGAACCCTAGACCCGAAATCCGCAGGCCTAAACACCGAAACCCTAAACTAGACCCTGCAACCCTAAAACCCTAAGCCCTCGACCCTGGACCTCAAGCCCCTAACTCTAAGCCCTGAGCCCTTATCCCCAAACCCATCTGAAAAAAAGAGGTCGAAACAAAAAGGTACTATCCATAAAGCAAGGTACCCAGTACCCCACAAGGTCAACGAGTAGCCCTTTCATAGTCAGGGAACCCTTTTCCTAGACTCGGGCCTAAACCCTGAAACCCTAAACTAGACCCTGCAACCCTAAAACCCTAAGCCCCCTAACTCTAAGCCCTGAACCTGATCCCTAAACCCCTAAATCCCTAGACGCCTGAACCCTAAGCCCCTTAATTCCTAAAGCCCTAAACCCAGAGGAGACGTTGCAGAACTGGATCTCCCAACGCAACGCCGCCGTGGCGGCTGGCAAGGCCTCGAAGGAGGACTCGCGTGGCGTTGAGGGGTTTACTTGGTGGCTCATGGGACTTAGTAAGTAAGGTTATAAGTAGGTTATACTCAGGATAACCCCACTTAGGGGACTTATAACCCCACTTGTAAGGTTAGGGGTTTAAGGTTTAGGGTTGGGTACGGCCCCCACTCAGTAACAGTTGGATAATATTCATAGTATAGATATATAAGGGGCCGTACCCAAGTGTAGGGTTTCGGGTTCAGGGGTTAGGGAGTAAGGGGTTTCGGGGTTCTGAGAATTTTTCTGGGAGGTTTGTTCATCTTGTGAATTTTACTCCACTCGTTTGTGTTGTTCTTTTGGGGGTTTAATGGGCCCCAAAACCTTTTTCTAATTATTAAGGCCCCTCGAGTGCCCCCCAAACCCGACCCCAAAGCCATGAACCCTAAAGGCTCAACCTCAAAGCCCCAAAACCCATAGGCCTGAAGCCCGCATGATCGCCCGTCGGAGTGAAAGCTTAGTGCACTTTAAGAAAGACCCTGATAGCCCCTTTGGGAACCCTTATGGGAATCCTAAAAAAGAGCCTGTAAAACTTGCACTATACCCTAAACCCTACTACCCAGAGGCCCCATAGTAGTTCCTGTTTGGGATAGACCCTACTCAACCCTGAACCCTGGAGCCCCAAGCCCTCGACGAAGAAGCAGCGACCGAGTACTTAATAGGATCATGGGACTTAGTAACTATAGTTATACGTCCCTTAATTGGGGTTATAAGTATTTATAAGTATAGCTACCCAAATCAAAACCCTAGTTACTAAGTCCCATGATCCTTGAAGTATATTCTAGTACCCTTATGGTATCCCTTATAGTAGCCCCTTTAAAGGAACCCTAGGAGCCCTACCTCACCTACGAAGTCCCATGATCCTCCAAGTAGACCCTAAACCCTAAACCCTATAGATCCCTTTAAGGAACCCTATAGATCCCTCTAAGGAGCCCTATAGATCCCTTTAAGGAACCCTATAGATCCCTTTAAGGAGCCCTTAAAGGAACCTCACCTACTAAGTCCCATGATCCTCCCAGCAGGACCTCAAGACCTGGGCCTCGCAAGCTGCGGGGATCTTCCGCCAGGTGCCGCTGTCCGGTTTCGGGAGGGTCTAGGGTTTAGGGTTTAGGGTTTAGGGTTTAGGGTTTAGGGTTTAGGGTTTAGGGTTTAGGGTTTAGGGGTTTAGGGTTTAGGGGTTTAGGGGTTTAGGGGTTTAGGGTTTAGGGGTTTAGGGGTTTAGGGGTTTAGGGTTTAGGGTTTAGGGTTTAGGGGTTTAGGGGTTTAGGGGTTTAGGGTAGGGCTTAAGGTTTGGAGCCGTTCAGGGTTCAGAGTTTAGGTTTAAGGGCCAAAAGTAGCAGTCCCGGAGCCCCTGCGCCACTTTACCTTGTTCGACTGCCCAGAGGCTCCAATATCCCTTAATTAAGGAATATTCCTTAAATCATATCAGGGATCCTACTATGATTTAAGGTATATTCCTTAAGTAAGGGATATTGGAGTCTCTGGGTGGCTTGGCCAAAGAGCGCTAATATAGGGGGCATTGTTAATTTTTCTATACTGTTTAGGGGGTGTCCTTATGATAATCGTAGTATAGTGGGCCCCCAAACCCCATTCTAATTGTTAAGGTCCCTATATAAACTCCTGACGATCGAAGATGTGCTAAACCCCGAACTTCACGCTAACTAAACCGAGCAAGCTCCAAGCCTTATGATTCAAATTGTTGTTAGTGACCTTTTAGTGTTGTTACTCTTATACTACCTTGCATAATTTATTTCAACCCTTATTTCTAAGGTTCTGAGCCCAGGATCGTCGTAGAACCTTCGCTTCGGAGGTGGCGAGTGCCCTCTCGGCGCTTCATGCGCGAGGCCTGGCGCACCGGGACGTGAAGCCCACGAACATCCTGCCGGGAGCCTAGGCCTAGGCTGCCTGGCAGAGGTGGCAGTAGCAATGGCAGTGGCTGCAGAGTAGCAGTTCAGGTTCGGTGGCGGTTGTAGTGATGGTAGCAGTAGCAGCAGTAGTAGTAGCAGCAGCAGTAGGCGTGGTGGTGGTGGTGGTGGTGGTAGTGGAGGTGGTAGTAGAAGTAGATGAAATTTAGAAGTAGAAGTACATGCAAAATGAGATGGCGCAGCAGCAGTGGCAGAGTAGCAGTAGCGGAATTAACAGTGGTAGGTGGTGGTGTTGGTTATTGTGGCAGCGTCGGTTGTGGTGGTGGTGGCAGCATCGGTTGTGGTGGTGGTGCCGTCTTCCTCTGGTCCTTGTGGTCCTTATCGCCCTCTTGGGACGGCGTCATCGTAGTCTCTGTGCTGCCTCTTTTCGTGTATGTTGGAGAGCACTCCGGTGTCGCCTCTCCGACGATGAAGTTTTGAAACAGAGGGCTTCATGATTGAGGACAACTTTGTCTCCGCAGCAACATCCGTCACACACCGCCTCAGTCTTGCTTGCATCAGCCTTACTCAGGCAAGCGAGTCTCACTATCCCGACTTATGGTAATACTGTAATATCCCCAAAACCATAACTTTCTTACGGAGCCAGTGAAGCTCGAAGCCGTTGCACCCCGAAGCCCCCGAAGCCCGCATCGAGCTAAGGTTCGGTATGGACGGAGGTGGGGCACATGCTTCCGAACCCGATACCGAATCTCTTCAGAGATAGTAGCACTATTTCTCAGGGTTGCGATGATACTTACAGTGTGCCAGACCCCACGACCCTAGTCTAACTGTTTGCATGGGGTCTTGGGGTCTAGCATTCTAACTATTCATGGCCTTTTAGTACAAGGCGCAGCTCGTGCGAGGCCTTAGACTCTAGGGTCGATAAGGGTTCACCGGATTTCAGCACTTTTCCTAAACCCTAAACCCTAAATCGAGTCTGGCGTAGAGGGCTTAGGGTTGAGGGTTTCCGAGCCCGTGGCTCTCAGAAGGAAAGGCGTGCAGATGTGTGCCGGTGTACCAGCTTCGCAGCACCTCTTCGAAAGGAACCTCCTGGGCTGAAAAGCCTGACGCCACGGAGAGATTCCCTTGGCTCTTACTCGGGAGAAGAAAAACCTCTATCTCCGCAAATTAACCCGAAACCGAGGAACCCGAAAGCCACAGACCCCCCCCAAAGTATAAGTCCAAGACCCCTAAACCCTAAACCCCACACCCGAAACGCACACCCTAACACCCTCTAAGCCCCACGCCCTACATGGGAGCTTCCAAAAATAGGGGACCCTAATAGAGTGCCTTAAACTAGTAGGACCCTTATCATAAGGACCCCCAAAATTAGGTACCTTTAATTTTCGGAAACTCCCAAACCTTAAACCCTTTATACTAGAACCCTTATAGATCCCTTTAAGGAGCCCTTATGGATCCCTTTAAAGGAACCCCCCCCTTACTTTTTCGGAGACTCCTACATCTGAACCCAAGATCCTCCTTGGCCCCGAGCCCCAGGGAATGAGGCCCCAACTCCGAAACCCGGGGTTTAGGGTTGTTTAGGGGTTTAGGGATGTTTAGGGGTTTAGGGGTTAGGGGTTTAGGGGTTTAGGGTTTAGGGGTTTAGGGTTTAGGATTTGGGGGAGTCCAATACCCCTTAATTAAGGAATACTCCTTAGACTATAATTTAAGGTATATTCCTTAATTAAGGGATATTGGAGTCTCTGGGTACTGGGCTTGGGAGTACCATACTTTAATACTGTTTTGGGACCTGTTACTTAAAGGGAACCAATCATGGCACAAAAAGTCTATACTGTTCTCTCCCTGGCTACTTATCGGGGATTCTGAGTATGTTAGGTTATTTGTGTCCAGAGTCTCCGCTCCGAGAGGGCTTTGGGGTATTCGAGGTTCTGCTTGGAGGATCATGGGACCTAGCAACTATAGCTATAAGTCCCTTAATTGAGGTTATAAGTAATTACAAGTATAGTTGCCCCCAATAATAACCCTAGTTACTAAGTCCCATGATCCTTTAAGTAGGACGCTTCAGCCCTACATCCTAAACCCTCTTTGCGAAAAACGCGCCTTTTCTGAAGCCGAAATCCTGGACCTCAAACCCTGAAGCCCTAAAGCCCTCAACCTTCTTTGTTTTGAGGTCGTAGGTAAATCCTTAGGTCCTAATTCCTAAAACCTTAAAAAACCGTTAAGCGAATTGGGCAAAGAGGCGCTTCAAACAAAAAAACACACACACACACACACACAGTCAAGTCCTAAACTTCTGAACACGGAAAACGCCTGAATCCTTGCGAAATGTCCTAAACCCGAAATGCCTGAATCCTTACGAAAGTCCTAAACCCGAAATGCCTGAATCCTTGCAGAAGAGCCTCCGAGTTCATCGGCGCAGGTGTTCGCCTGGGCGATTTCGGGTTGGCGAAGCTTCTGGACCCGGCAAATTTGGGAAACCGGGCTTAGGGTTTGGGGTTTAGGGCCTTAGGGTTTAGGGGTTTAGGGTTTAGGGTTTTGGGGTTTAGGGTTTAGGGTTTAGGGTTTAGGGGTTAGGGTTTAGGGGTTTCGGGGTTTCGGGGCTTAGGGTTTGGGTGTCCAAGGACTTTAGGGCGTGAGGTCTTTGGCGTTCAGGGGTTTAGAGTTTAGGAGTTACGGTTTTAGGGTGCAAGGGATACCTTTGGGTTCAGCTCTGCTGCTGCTTGCGCAATACTGAGTACTGATAACGCTGGTTGCTATTGGTGTTTTGCAAGTACCGTTGCTATCATTGACGTAGTTACTACTTACTAAAGCGAACATGTCGGAATGGCCGTGCTGCTAGTTTTTGTCTTCGTCCCCTCTGGCGTTCGCGACTCGAACCAGTGCTTGGCCTCGTGCCAGTTTGCGGCACGGCGCCAGCTTGCATGCTACAGTGTGCATCGAACTTGTAGCCGACTCGAGTGAACGTGAAATGCCAAAACCCCAGGCTGAAAAATGTAGACTCATGTCTGTGGCCTCAAGATATGCGAGGAGCTGGAATCAAGTACACATGTCATCTTAGCATGTGCTGTGCCTGCTTCAGCCCTACAGTATCAGCATCAAAGGCCACCCCTCGATGATGAGTATCTGGCCGGTGGGCTGATCCGGCTGATTTTTGCCTCAGTGTCTACTCAAAACAAGTTCTCATGCCCCAAAATGCTGAAAAAGGGAGAAGGAATACCCTAAATACTCGCATACAACCCGGTAGAAATACTTAGCGCAGGATGCTGCTGATGATGCTCCTCAGCCCAGGCCCAACTGGGAATTGAACGGTATGCGGCCCCAAGCCCTAAAGTCCTAAACCCTAAAGTCCTAAACCCTAAAGTCCTAAACCCTAAAGTCCTAAACCCTAAAGTCCTAAACCCTAAAGCCCCAAACCCTAAAGTCCTAAACCCTACAGTCCTAAATCCTAAAGTTTTGGCCGCGCGGGGCATTGTTCCGGACTTCTGGGTTGCTTTGGGTCATGTGCGATTGGGAAGCCTGTCACATGTAGTCGACCCGTATATTAAGTGCATAGTTTCATTATGCTTCAATAATAATATGCCTCCAAGCCCTACGTACTCAAACTATTAAGGCCCCTAAACCCTGCTGCATGCTTGATGTCCGACAGTTGACGGCCTCAGTGACCGGAAGTTGGCGCGCGACTTGTTGAAGTTGAAATCTACGTCTGCTCTCGAATGAGATGCGAAGTGCCCACGAACTTACTCCCAACGACAAACTAATGCCTGCAAAGCCGACTCTTTGTTCAAGAGCTGTGCTGGAGTCATTTGTGTTGAAGCTGTTTCCTTCTCAGTAGCTACGACACTGTGGGGTCCACGTCCACGTTGAGCTAGCTGCTCTGAAAACCACATGCGCGTGTTGGGGGCAGAGTTTCTCGCACCTGTTGTCCTTGTCACCAAAAACGTGTTTGCTTCGACCCAGCTGCCAACTTGCTGCGCTCATGGTGAAAGGGTACGTGTTCAACTGTCGACACACAACAAGTAAGCACGTCCATGACAGGCCGAACGTAGGGAGAGGCTGTTGGTACGCTTGCAAGAGGACGTCCTTATTCGGCTTGGGAGTCTCTGTAGATTTGAGGCCTCCATGGGCAAACCCAATGCCTAAGCCCTAAGCGGTAAACTTCATTCATTCTCTTAATCACTATACTTCATAGTTTAAGTAGTACTGACCAGCTTAAGCTTGTTGATGGTGCGAATACAATTAGTGTTATACCACTGATAGTACGAACATCCTTCATATTTATGTTCAGCTTAAACCCTAAACCCCTAGACCTGAACTCCGAAACCTTAAACCCCTAAACCCTAAACCCCTGAAGCGCTAAAACCTAAACCCCTAAACCCCTTATTTCCTAAACCCCTAAACCCTAAACCCCTAAACCCCTAGACCCTGATCTCCAGCAGGCTGCAGCGCTCTACATCGACAGGCTGGGCCACGTGACGGAGACATCGCTTAGGGCCTAGGGGTTTAAGGGTTTAGGGCTTGAAGGGGTTTAGGGTTTCTGGGTTCTGGGTTTAGGGGTTTAGGGCTTGAAGGGTTTAGGGTTTCTGGGTTCTGGGTTTAGGGGTTTAGGGCTTGAAGGGTTTAGGGTTTCTGGGGCTTTGGGTTTGGGGTTTAGGGTTACTGTATGATGAGTGGGAGGGCGGTATTGCTTACAGAGTGCAGAAAGCTCGGTCGTTGTGGCCCACCCAATTCGGCTGGTGATGCTGCGCTGATGCTAGTGGTCCTAGCAGCCCTTTAGCTAATGCCATGCAGTACTGATGGAGATGATTCTATAGGGGTATAAGTAATTACCAAAACTATTTTGGGGGTTCCTTTTTACAAGTATAGTATAATGGGCGCCAAAACCCCAGGCCCCTATGTAAGAGTCACCTGTCTTGTGGTCACCACGTGGCCCGCTGATGCTGATAGTTGCGTTCCGTTAGCCTGCTGCTCATGCTGCTTGCCGCCTGTCGCATCTCATCGCTGTGGAGTTTACATTGACATATTGATGAACATGCCGCGGTACTCGTAGCAGCAAAGGTGGTGCCGGTGGCCGGCCGTATCCAAGCGCTAGCAGCAGTAGTAGTAGTAGTAGTAGTAGTAGCAGTAGCAGTAGCAGTAGTAGGTCGCTGGCGTCTCTAAACCCGCAACCCCTAATCCGAAAACCTTGAATCCTAAACCCAACTCCGAACCCGAGGCCTGCAAGCCAGGATTCCTTTCAGGGAACCCTTAAAGGAACCCTTAAGGGAACCCTTAAAGGAAACCTTTCAGGGAACTCCTAAAGGAACCAGACCCTACAGGTGTGGGCACTCCGATCTATGCCAGCCCAGAGCAGCTGGCGACAGATTCCTACGGTGTAAAGACGGACATCTTCGTCGGGCCCCTGTGTTTGGGTTTTGGGGTTTAGGGGTTTAGGGTTTAGGAATTAAGGGGTTTAGGGGTTTAGGGTTTAGGAACTAAGGGGTTTAGGGGTTTAGGGGGTTTAGGGTTTTTGGGGGTTTAGGGTTGCTTTGGGTTTAGGGTGCATTGCATGTTCTGCTTCCGAGTCAATGCAGGGGCCTTCATAAAGAGTAAAAATATTCAGCGATAGTTCGCATATAGTTCAAGGCAACATGTATATACGTCTCCGAGCATCCCTGTATCAGTCCTAAGGCCTCTCTATAGTGCCTTGAGAAAAGAGTAAAGATCCTACACCGGTTTAGGGCTTGTAGGGTTTGCTAATGCGCCGTTGAATTGCAGTGAAGAGTTGACATGACAAGAAACAAGTGGAGTTCCACGCGAGAACCAGCCACCTAATAGAGGGTTGTCATAGATAGTAATGGAATTCAGTAGGGTTCCTTATTAAAGCTGTACTTTAATGTTTGCCAAACCCTGTTTCAGTCATTAAGGCCGTTCCTTTACACAACTGCTACAAGTAACAATCTTTGCGTTGCGAGGGTTTCACGGCTAGCGCAAACACACTTTGGGCAAGCGGTCTTGCAAAAGTTCTGCTTTCCATTGCCTGGCCCACCGATTACTATTCGGTAGGGCTCCTTCTTAAGGCCCCATTCTAACTACTCCGTCTTCTGCATGCATTGATGCGTTCGAAAATGCACGCCTCATTGTTTTGTGAGGCTCTGGGCATGATCCTTGCGGAGTTGTTGTGCCCGGCCCGTGCACCCAGACTGTTGCAGGATTTGCGGTTGCGGTTTGCTTGCTTCAGCCCCAAATGTTTACGGATTTAGGGCCCGGTGTAGGGTTTGTAAAACCCCTACAGCCTGAACCCCTCACGAGGTGTCAGGGGTCTCCGGGGAGATCGCCATTTGCTTCCAGAGACTTCGATATTCATAGGAGGCCAAAAGAGGTGTTAGCCTATGAGGGTTTAGTAGGGATTAGGGTTCCCATAATAGGGTTCATATTAAGGAATCCCCGCTTCAAGAATCTTAAACCCCCCTTCTGGCCTCCCATCAGATATGAACAGACGAAAGAGAACTGAAGGATCGCAGCTTTCGGGTAAAAGGCTGCTGTTGCCGACTCGGCTCTTAGACGGGCGTCCTTTCATACGTGGCCTTTTATCCGCCTGTCTTTTCCATAAGCGTCGTTAAAATTTAAGCTTCTTTTCAAGGCTCCGGTGCTTTCTGAAGCATATGAGTGAGTGTGTGTGTGTGTGTATATTATAGAAATGTATACACACACACATGCGGTTTCCAGGCTGAGGCACTTCCATCAACCCGAGACTCAAATACAGTAGTAGCCCCTTGGCAACCCTCATAATTCGTTCTTCCTCTAATAGCCCTGATAGCAGTCCTTGTAGCACAAGTAGCCCTGAAAGCACCCTTACAGTAACCTGCCTAGAACCTCTTAACCCTAAACCCTACACCTTTGGAGCCTCTACTCTAGCCTTAACCCTAAACCCCCTCCCCCAAGGTTGCTACGCAAATGGAGCGGGCCACTCTCTTCGAGCGCCTTCGCAACGGCAAAGGCCGCGACATCTCTTTGTTGGGATTCTTGGAGCACAACTTTTGGTTAGGACAAGCGTTTTTGGTTTAGATATTGTAGACTCATAAGGGTTGCTGACAGGGTTGTTAGAGGGCTACCATAAGGGTCTGAGGGGAACAAACAGCGCAGACTTTCAGAGTTGCTTTGAGGGTTCCATGGGGTGTACTTGGAGGATCATGGGACTTAGTAAGTAGGTTATAAGTGGGGTTATAAGTCCCCTAAGTGGGGTTATCTTAAGTATAACTGCTTATAACCTTACTAAGTCCCATGAGCCTCCAAGTACCATGCTGTGATCGGCAAGGCCCTGAGCGAATCTTAGCTTTAGCCGGGGTTTCCTGATCGGGAGAGGGATGCTGAAGAAAGCTCGCCTTCGAGCTCCTCAGCCTTCACCTATAGGTGCTGTAGAAAGTTGCAGCGCAGTATGCTATCATATATCATGTTGTTGCATCTGCGATGTGGCATTTTTGCTGCAGCTCTGGCACCGGAGCTGGACTGAGTGGGAAGTGTCAGGCTACCCCCCCGGAGTGCTGCGCAGCCATGGGATGCAAGTCGTCCGTGCAAGTTGTCTCGTTTGACGAGCTGGACGAGGCCCTTAAGGGCATGAGTGCGAGGAGTGATTGCCCGGTTCAGAAGTGGGCGGCAAGCCGTGAAGTCAGCAAGACTCCCACCAAAAAGCGGCCCTCATCACCACAGGTGGCCACGCCACAGCTGGACTCCATCCTGCCTGACTTGGAGGTGTGTGAAGAGTGCGGAGTGGTGGAGGTCAAGGTCCCGGAGCACCTCCGAGACATCCTCAAGGAGCGGGTCCAGGCAGAGTTCGTAGAGCCATCAGCAGTCGAGAGCTCATGGAACTTCCAGCAGGCAGAGGATCGGCCTGCGGGTCTCTTGGGTCCACCGGATCGTGAGATGCACCTGGAGCATTTGGAGAAGCTTCACAGATTCTTCAGAACGAGCTGCAAGGTGCCAGGCTGGCTCCGGATAGAGGTCGATGGCAAAAGGAGGCGGGACGGCATGGAGCCGCTGCAAACGAAGAGATGCGCCAATAGCCGTGCTCGGAACATGCACTGATAGGTCTCCCAGCCTAGTTTAAGCTGAACAGCACTTTCTGGATACGGGCCAAATGATACATAGAATGTTTTTTCTTGGCCCACAAGTATATCAGAGCTTCACTTTTGCTTCTCGAGCAGTTTGCACATGACAGCAACGAAGACCATCTAGTAGGCAAGTAGGCTGTCCAAAGTCATATCGCACAACTCTTGGAGTGTGGCCTCGCGTTGTGCCCCGTCTGCAGAATGCCTCGAGCAACCACGTGTGACCAGAGTGACATTGGTGTCCAGTCGTGCAGCACGTGCAGAAACCTAAAGTGGTAAGTTAGGATGTTCTGGATGATGCTGGCACTTGCTTACACCACGATGTGGTTTAAGGACTCTCTTGGACTGCACACGCTGGCCTGAACACGCTTTTAAGAAACCGGCATCAACGACATGTGCCGATGATATTCACTGGGCCTCATCATGGCTCAGACAGAGTGTGCGGCTTTCTGGCTTCATGCGGAAGGTCCGCCGCAATATATTGCCACTGTACAGTTCACCATTCCCTTCTTGGCAAGGCGGCTTGTTGTTCTGCATGTCTTGTGTTCTGGCTGTCATCCGTGCGCGGCCAGAAATCACACTTTGCGGCATGTGATTGCGCAAGGGATGTATTATGTATCGATATATCATACTGCAATCTTCTAAGGGCTTTGGGGAATACTATGACTAGTTATTCAAACGCCTATATCACAATACTTCTCTGGAAGACTCGAGCTTGGCTTGTTTCTGCCTTCCTTGGCTCTCACCGCATCCGAGCATGAATTGCTTACCGTGTCACCCATTAGCTGGAAGCGATGCGGCAGGCTTCTTTCGGTTCTCCCGGGACACTCTCAGACTTCCATGTCCACTACACCGGCCTTCCCATTCGAGTCTGAAGCTTTTTGCATCGTGATTGCGACGAATACATTTTCACAGATGCGCAACACGCAGGTTTTTGCGTGGGGCATGCAAGGGCTGCAGCAGCACTTGGCAATCAGGTTCTTTTGCTGCAGCCCCCACTCAATTTGTCGCTAAGCCCGCAGGCGACGCTCCGGGAAGCAAAAAGTGCTTAAAGGATCATGGGACTTAGTAACTGGGGTTATTATTGGGGTTACTATACTCATAATTACTTATAACCCCAATTAAGGGACTTATAACTACAGTTACCAAGTCGCATGATCCTCCAAGGGTGCCCTTGTGTGGCTGCAAAGGTCCTTGGAGAAGCTGATGGAGAGATCACTGCGCACTTGAGCTAGCAGTTCCTCCCTTCGGGGCCTCACGGCAGCCCTGTGATCAAGTAGCCTTGATCCTCACCGGATGTAAGGGCTCAAAGCATCCAGAAGCGGAGCAATAAACCAGACCCCCGAGAGGATCTAGAAAGTAGATCCCCTTATTTGGGGCCCTATACTACCAAGGGTACTTTATAGGAACCCCCATTAAGGGGGGGTCTGGGAACATGCAGTGTCAACGATTGATGCCATGGTAGAGAGATGCGCCGTTCAGGTTCCCAAATGAGCCCTAAAATTTTGAGCGAACCCCTTGGGATGCCAGGTCTGCCCAAGGACATTGCGGTCAGCTTTCCTAAGGCAGGGAAGCTTCGAAGGAAGCCTGTTTCCGCCTCGCAGAGGAGAGGGTGCACAGGGAGCTTTTTCGAAGCGGAAACCCCGACCCTAAACCTTCAACCCTCCGATACAGAAGCAATCATGGTCGCCGTTCGAGCCTCTCCCGAAGCTCCGAAGCCCAAGCGGGACGGGGGGACCGTTTGAGAGGAACACAAGGCATCCCAACAGCCCAAGCAGGACCGAAGCCAATACCAGTAATGTAGACGCCTGTGTAATGAATTACCAATAATATTCCTTAGGGTTCTCCACTATAATATGTATTACAATATACCCCAAACCCCCAGAGTCTTATGAAGGCCCCTCAGTCATTTGCGCAAAGTTGATGCAGGCAGCAAAACTGGTTGAGGCGCGGGCGCCCAGCATTGACTTTGTGGTCTGCCTTGGCTTCGGGAGTTTCATCACCCGGTCACCTGCCCTGCTATAGAGGCCTAAATAACTACCTATACTATTTTGGGGGTTCCCTAGTGTAATTGTAGTATAATGGACCCCAATTTCCTATTCTAATTATTAAGGCCCCTATATTACACTGTAAACCCTTGACTCTGAACCCCCACGAAACCTTAATCAGAGCCCTAAACCCCCAAAGATCCAAACCCGACCTAGGGTTCCAACTAGCAGGGCATACAATATCCCAAAGCTCTGTTCGAATTATTCAGATTACTAAGTCCGAGAACCCTTGTAGAACCTTTGTGAAGCAACGCTTATAGAACCTTTACGAGCCCCATTCTATCTATTGAGGCCCCTATCTTCGACCGTGGGGTTTTGGATGATATCGGATAAAGGGTCCTGCAACCAGGAAGTAGGGCTCGGGGTTGGGAGTTTTGGAGTTCAGGCTTTACAGTTCAAGGGTTTGGGGGTTTAGGGTAATGCTACGGGTGTCTGTGCTCCTGCGCTGCTTCCTGAACCCTGCAGCAATGCAACACATGCATTGACGGCCATAGGCGAACTTTCACTGTTGATGCATGTTGTAATCTGATCTCGCTAGTTCCGCACAGTTGATGTTGGGGTGCTTTTTGGGCTCCTATCCATAGGCCCCATAGTAAATCCTTTTTGGGTTTCATATGTAGAATCCCATAAGGGAACTGCTATGGGGCCTATGGGTAACCTACACCCGAAATACTGAAGCCGAAGCTGTGCCCCCGTGTCTTAACACCTCCAGGCCCGTGAGATCGGCAGCCAAGACCCCAAACCTGACACCCGGAATTCCGGATGGTTTAGGGTTTAGGGTTTAGGGGTTTAGGGTTTAGGGTTTAGGGTTTAGGGTTACTATTCTTCAGCCGTGGTGGGTTTCGGATTTCAGGGCCCTGAACCCTAAACGGCCCTAAACCCTACATCCTACAAGCACGTATGATTCGGGGAGTTCCCTCGCTTTGGGGGTCCACCACTGCCAGCCTTGTCCTTTTTCATGGTTCCCCCAAAAGAATAAACAGACCGGCTAGTAGACCTTCTTAAGCAATTCCTATTAAGGGATAGAGGTATAGGGCTCTGTCTATTATTTCTAGAAGGACCAGGTGGGTCCACTACCCAGAGACTCCAATATCCCTTAATTAAGGAATATACCTTAAATTATAGTAGGATCCCTAATATGATTGAAGATATATTCCTTAATTAAGGCATATTGGAGTCTCTGGGTACTCTCCCTGGGCCCGGCTGTCAGGCGATGACGCAAACGCAGGCCGAGAGCCGACCCTGCGCCGAGGAGCTGCTTGAGGTTCGGTGAACGGCATTATCAGCTTCATTGCTGCTCATTACATTAATAGTTTAATGATATCAAAAAGTTAAATACTTATTACATGTATAGTTTGATAATTTCAAGAAGTTAATACTGTCCTGCATTGCCGTGTCACAACAAGCCGCAGAGAGAAGCCTGTCTGCAAAAGGTCCTATACCGTTTAGGATTGTGCTGCATCAGCTCTTCCCCATCTCTTCACAACTGTAACAAGACTGAATTATAACTATGCCAGAAACCTATGGACCCATGCTGAAGAGAAAAGCCGTATACTGCCGGGGTCTGAGTAAGTCCGGGCAGGCGCATGAGGAGATCGTCGGAGAAGTGTGTGAACACCTCGAGCTCGATGCGCCCCGGAATGCATCGGTCTAGGAAGTTCCACGTTAGGGGTTTAGAGTCAAGGCGTTATGGTTTAGGGTTTCAGCCAGCTCGACTTTTGGTCTCTGGGTGTATCGGGTGGTGAAACTAGGATCTGTGCAGGTGCCCTGTTGGAGTCCGTAGCACCTTCGTGTCAGCAGTAAAATTGTCTTTCCGGCGCCTAGAAGAATCTCGCTGCAGTGCAGGGCGTGTGCGGCCTCGGGATCAGAAATTTCAGGAGGATGCTCGCATCCAGCAGTGCCGTCGCAGAACAGCAGTAGTCGAGGACCCACCATTTGACACGACTGCATCAGACTCCCGACTTGATGCTGGAAAACGAAATAAAGGAATGTACCAATCTACAGGCATGCATGATTCCCAGGTCCTACGTCCTAGGAGTGGCTGAACCCTGCGTAGCGAGTTTATTCCTGTCACATCTGCCTTGTTTCGTGCATCACCATCAGGCGGAAGCATCGATGCCATAGAAGACAAACCCATCTCCGACGAGGCATTTATGATTGCCTGGGTTGGCAATGGTTGCAGTGCGATTTGGGGTTTAGGGTCTTTGGGTTGAAGTTTAGTTTGCATCGATGTCAGGTTCAAGTTTCAAGGTGCAGGGTTGAGGCTGCAGAGTTTTGAACGGATCACATCCAGGCCTGGATTGCGGAGGGTGTTTGTGCAGCTACCTGCCTATCCTTAGTAGCTTAGTCCCTGTTTTCGCAAACATGCAGTCATGCTTCCAGCGCAGCGTCCGGGACCGGCTTGTGTATGGTCGCTTTCTGTGTCTATGGGGTTGAAGCCAAGGGTTTGGAAACCTGGGGAAACAATCTCTCAGAGGAATTTTCGACAGTGGTCTTTTTTCGAAAGTGGTTTTCTTCGAAAGTGATCTTGAGTCTTACTCCGGCGGCGCATGCCGGGAGTGCGCTGCCTTGGTGAAAGGTGGCAGGGCAGTAGAGTCGGACCTAGTCCGATGTTTTGCCCTAGCTCAAGGTGTGTAGCGCAGTACTTGCTGTTGTTTCCCGCCACTCAAACGCTGCCAACCCTCTCTGCAGCCGCCAGTCCCCATTGGAGGAGTAACCCCGACGATAGCCCGAAATCGAGGTGAACTGACCCAAACCCCAAACCCCAAACCCTAAACCCTTGACTTTGTTGCTTTGTTGCATGTGGGCAGTCGCCACTCAGACATAGCAAGGAGACTGGCAGCTGACTAAAAACCCTGAAACCCTCCGGCAAAGCCTTGCATCCCTCTTCGACCCATCCCCTCAGGCGTGCAGTCACTTCAGTGAGATG